AGGCCATATTGGAACACAAGGCATAGGAGCACCCTTTGGGCTGCAAAGAGCATCCAGGCGATGGGGTCCCAGGCTGGAGGTCTGAGTGCACCCACAGGGTGAACAGGCAAAAAGACAATCACTTGAAGCAGAAAACAATTGAGCTATCACTTGTCACATCACTAAAAATCGCTAAGGTGACATATAAAACTTAGACATGCACTGATTTATCTTCTAATTATTTCCTGACTTTGTAACTAATTGAGCCCCCTGATTTCTTCCCTGCTCCCATGGCACTGAAGCTTAGAGAAGACATTTCAGAAAATAAATGCTGGACCTGCAAAAGCCCACAGACACGGAAAACAACACCAACCACCCCAGATAAACTGGGGAGGAGGAAGGGTACCTATCAGGATGCTTGCTGGCTCCCCCACTCTCAGGTGCTGATTGCCATCTTTCTTCTGTCTACTCAGGCTGTAAGTTCCTTGCAGCAAGGGCATCCACTTGCATGTTCGTGCATGCCCTGATCCCAGGCAGGTCTTGGGTGAGCCACAGATAAGGGAACAAAAACCAGACCAGTGGTCCAAAAGGATAAGATGGCTGCTCAGATCCAATACAGAGAGGCAAAGAACTGCAGTGGCATCAGGTTTTCATTTTGGAGAGCTGGATCCCTCTAGAGAAGTGCTCAGCACAGCCTCGGCACAAAAAGATGCCAGCTACTAGCAACTCTAGCCCTGGAGTTTTCACCCAGATCTGAAGAGCAAATACAAAAGCTTTACTTCCAGGCAGGAAATCCCTTTTACCACACCTTTCTGATTTACACCGATGCTTGATACACACCACATGTGTCCCCTCCTTCCCTCACCCACATTTGCAATGGTTCTGTTCCATATTTAAGTGATGAAAAGTTAAGACCTGTGGTTATGGCTTCTATGAGAAGCTTCATTTTGAAGGGCTGCTACATTTCAACTTTATTGCTATGAGGAAAAACTGGAAAAAACACCAAAAGCTTTCAGTCCTTCCCTAACATGAAAGCTGTTGTGAAGACATTTAATAAGTTTGTCTCCTGCAAGCTGTTGAAATATTAGAAGTGGGAAAATTTATTCCTACAAATGTTTTGTATGAGTCCCATCCACGATTTTATGCACTACACTTAATTTCTTCTGTTTGAGGTGGTTGCGGCAGGTTTGGTCAGCATTTTCTCCTGAAGTGCATCTCAGCAAGCAAAGTTTACAGCAAACCTGCCGCCTGAGATTTGTTACGAGGAGAAATAAAACAAGGAATAACATCGGGATTGCTCCGGCCAAGAGACCAGGCGAAAGACAGAACACACAAACTGACCCACCTGCCTGCGGGTGGGAATAGAGGGACATTCATCTCGGTGAGATCAGAAGTTACGTGGGGGAACAGCAGGAGTGAGAGCCATCAGAAAACTGGCAAATGCATCTGCTTTTTCCATTCAGCACTGTGCTGCTGACTAGATCTCTGCGAAACTTCCTCTGTTCCACAAACCTGCCCACTGGGATCTGTCTGGCATTAATTGGCCTTCAAAATTACTTATGGAAATATCTTCAGCTGATTTTTGTAAGCCATTGAGCAAGGAAAAATACCCAAAGCTTTGGGTTGGTTTTGATTTTTTTTGGTGGTTTTTTTTTTGTTTGCTTGGTTGGTTGGTTTTTTTTTCCTTTAAAAAAAAAGAAGCAAGAGAAAAATCAATAAATTCTTGCATGCGGACATGGTAGTCTGCTGCTTAAAATAAACGCCTTAAGACGGACTTGGCCCTGACTTTCCTACGAAGTTTCTTTGTGTGAATTAAGGGCCGCAAAAGGCGAAGCTAGGGGAGGAGGGTAGAGGTGCGGAAAGCCGTGGGCCAGGCAGCGACTTTCGGAAAGACCTACGGTGGCAGCGGGGTCCCGAGGGGGAGCGATCAGGGTCTGTAAGAAGCCCCGGGACTGCGGCGGGCGGAGAAACGCGGAACGACGCCGAGGTCCTTGAGGAAAAGCAAGGCTCCCGGCGGGAAGGTTGAGCGGTGCGTGCACAGGCATCGCTGGACGGCAGTGCCCGGTCCCCGGCAGGAGCGGCAAAGCCACTCTGCGGACGGCAGTGCCCGCTCAAGGCTCGAGAGCGAAGGGAGCTGCAGAGCGGTGGAGGAACACGAAAAGCCCCTCTTCCCGGTGCCGGTCTTTTGTTCCCGGGGCCGGCATCCACCGGATGCACCGGTAACGAGTGATCTGGCTCCACCGAGCAGTCCTGCTCGTCCCGCTCGGGAAGAAAAGAGTACGTGGGAGGTTCCCCTGCCCGGTGCCCGGCGGCGGCGCTGCCCGGTAGCTGCGCGGCTCCGCGTGGGCACAGGGAGAGCGGGGCAGGCGGAGTGGGACCGCCCGGCGCCCGCAAACCCCCGCTGCCGCTCCCGCCCCATGTCCCGAACTCGGAGCTCACCGTCCTCGTAGTTCTTGAGGTAGTAGTCGGGGCCGGGCCCGCCGCGGCTCTTGGCCGGGTTCTTCACGTTGTGGAACTGCAGAAAGTCCGTCCTCTTGCCCGCGAAGCGTAGGAAGGCGGGGGCCAGGCCCCGCGCCAGGGTCACCAGCCGCCGGGAGCTGGGGAGAGGAGAGACCGGGCTGAGGGCGCCGCGGGACGGGACGAGCCTCCCTGCCTCGGTCCCGGGGACGACCGGCGGCCACGAGGCTTAGAAGACCATCCGTTACCCTGCAGGGCCCTGCTGCCCGGTGCGCTGCGGGTACCACGGCGGCGGAGTCCAGCTGTGGGGCTTTGCGCCAGCCGAGCAACGCGGCCCGGGAGCGGGGAGCCGCCCCAACCGCCGGCGGTGGCCCGAGGCCGGCAGGACCCTGCTAATAACCCTCTCCCCGCTCGCCCGCGGCGTCCCCCGGACAAGTGCAGCAGCGTCCCGGACGCAGAAGCGCTCACCGCCCCGCACAGCCCTGCCGCACCACACGGGAACACGGGACCGTGCCGCGGGCCGAGCAGCCGCGGAGGGGAGGGGAGCTGAGCAGAGTGAAGCGGAGAGGGGAGGAAAGGAAGGGGGAAGCCGGCCAGGCTCCGCTTCGCCCGCTCCTTCACCGGAGGCTGCCGCAGCCGAAGACACTCGGAACGGGCGCGCGGTGGAGACCCGCTCTCCCTTCCCGACTTACCCAGCAGGGAGAGGGCTTTCTGGCCGTCCCAGCGCCTCCAGGCCGCGGCCGCTCCGCACCGCCGGTGGAGCCCAGCGCAGCTGCAGCCCTACTCTGCCCCCCTCGCAGAGCTGGAAGTCCGGGGAGCGGAGGGCTCTGAAGACCTGGCCGACACCCCGCTTTCCGGCCGTCGGGACCCGGGAAAGGCTCAGCTCGGCTCGGCAGGCGGCCCCATTCCTCCTGCTGCTTTTTGATTTGTTTTTTAGGGTTTGTGTTTTTTTTTCCCCTGTGCTGCCTCGGCCCCGTGTTGTGCTTAATTATTTTATTGTTCAGGGGAGCGGTTGTTGGAGTGAGGGGAGCACGACATTTTTGCAGTCATAATTGATAAGTCTCCGAAATGCTTTCTCCATTGCAAACATGTGCATCTTAATGGAAACCATGGCCTCGCTCCCTCCGTCACAACGAGCGCAGCCAGCAGCGCGGAGCCCGGCGGGGCTGGGCGGCGGGGCCGCCGGGGCGCCCCGCGGGCGGCTTGGGAAGGGCGCCGGGGGGCTCCTGCCTTACCTTAAGAAATCGAGCCAGCCATCATGAATGATGGAGGGGTCCAGCTGCAGGGAGAGGAAATTCTCACTGATTATCCTGACAGGGCTCTTGGTGTTGACATCAAGGAGAATGAGAGTCCTTCCCTTCACACCTGGAGGTTTCTCCACTGGCAGCGCTCTCCTGTCCCCGGCCTGGGAGGACAGCGAGAAGGTGGCCATGAGAGCCAGCCCAGGTGCCATCAGGGCTAAGAGCCCGGGGGGGCAGGAGCTGGGACAGGGCATGCCGGAGAGCAGGAAACCCCTAATTAGCTCGCTGTCTGCAGGGGCTCGCTGTGGCTAATTGTCCTTATCTAAAGTGTGGGGAGCTCTGCCTTTTTTTGCAATGTTTTGGTGCTGGTGGAGGGGAACTCACGCCCCTGACCAGCCTTTCTCGCAGCCGGTGCCAAGACTCCATGCAGCCAGCACCGCCCCTTTAAGAGATGCAGGCTCCATTTTTAACTTTTTGAAGGTAAGGGGAGGCTCCTGGTTTAACCCCCTCGGCTCGGGGCCCGCCGCCCCACCGCAGCCCCGAGCTTTCGCTTTGCGCCAGCTCCGCAGCCCACCGGCGGCCGCTTTCCGGGACGGGAGTTCTCGGACAGCGCAAAACCGGGCCGGAGCCGGGACACCGAGGAGCCCGGGACCGGAGCACGGCGGCAGCCCAGCACGGCCCCAGCTTGTCCGCGGCTGCAGGAACGGCCGAGGCGGTAAGGCAGCGCGGGCGGCCCTGGCTATGGGAAAGCAAGGTTAATCACCCCCCAAAAAAAACGCGATACCCACGGGGAGAGCTCAGCCCCGAGCGAGCCGGGACCCGCCGTGCCGGGTGGGGCCCCCGGGACTGAGCTCTGACGGTTCCGCGGGACCGACGGGAGCAGCGGGGCTGGGGGTCGCCAGCAGCCTGAAGCCCGGTCCCGGCACACGCGGCTGGCCCCGCCCAAAGTCACCGGCTCTGCCGGGCCGCTCACGAAGACCCGTCGAGGACAGAGACCCGCGGAATCTGGCCACCCGCAGCCCTTTCCCTTCGGATTCGGGGTCCAGCGGTGCCCGACCCGCGGCGGGGAAGGGAGAGGAGCGGCGGTAGCAGCGGCCTTTGTGGAAATGTCCTCATCGGTGGTGCAAAGGGCACTACCTTTTGGTTCGATGGAACCGACGATGTAGCCGGCGCCAGGGCCAGCTCGTGGCCGCTGCCTGCAGGACGCCCCGGGCTCGGTGTGCTGCAGAGATGAAACCGGCCACGGTTCTCGGCGCTGGGAGCAGGCTGGTGACACCAGGCCCGGCATCAGTGGCCGCTGCCGAGCATCCCGAGAGAGATGGCCTACCTCAAGGAATCTACACGGGAAGCAGGCATCTTGCCCCGCCAGCAGCTGCTTTCCGGGCAAGCGCCGCGTCCCACACACCGGTAGCCGGTGAGCTCAGGGACATATAACGCGCCATACCTGAGCCCTCCGCCTCCGCCGCTGCCCTTGCCCACCTCGGCTCCACCTTCACCCAGACCAAGCAGCACGCAGGGCTCAGATGTCGCTGCCTTTACCGGCAGGGCTGGAAGTGGCTGGGCTGAGCAGGGCCCAGTGCGGCCCTTCGGGGCCCCGCAGCCCCGGGGATGGGGCTCCAGCAGCACCATCTGCCGGTGAGGGACCCGGCGCAGCGGGGAACAGGCACCCACCTGCGGGCTCCCCCGCGCCGGGGTCGGGAAATGCCGAGGCTGCGGCGAGCGGTGGGGCTGCGGGACAGAGGCACAAGTAGCGCCCTGAGCCGGGCCGCTCTGAGCCACATGGAAGAGCGGACCAGACGACAGGGCCCCGCCAGCAGCCCTCGGGGAGCCTGTCCATGCTCGGGTACGAGCGGCGAGCTCCGCAGGCAGGGCCAAGGGCACCCCCGGCGCACCGGCAGCCTGTTGTCCCGGCAGGGCTCCCCGCTGCTGGGACCCCCATCCCGCTCCTCCCAGTGCCCGTGCGGAGCCACCTGCGCTCTTCGTCCTTCGCAGCGGGGGTCCTGGAGACCGAGGGAGAGGACCCGGTGTGTCCCACGGCGGCAGGTCCCGGAGGTCGGTACGCTCGGCTGATCCCCGCACAAAGTGGAGAAGCTTGGGCCTGGATCCTGGGGAAGGCGGTGAGCGCCGTATCCCGTGGACATCTCCTTTCCCCTCGTTTCTGCCCCACGAAACACTTCAAGCCTATCTCTCCAGGGGCAGCCCCGCTGCCAGACCCGGGCTACACAAGCAGGGGTTGCGGGAGCCCGGAGTCACTGTGCAATTAATAGTAACGGGGCTGGGGGAGGATGAAACATACCTTTGGCTCTGCTAGGGGTGAGCAGGGAGAGCACAAACCAGGATTTACTGTGAAACCCATCCCGGTAAGGAGGAGATGGGAGCTGGGCTCAAAACGCGCCTCGCTGCCAGGCGCAGCTCAGGCTGACAAAAAGCAGTAAAGGGACGCCCGGAGCAGCGGGGCTTTGAGCGCTAGAAGAAATAAGAGGATCCGGGGGAAAGGGCTGTGCAATTTCAGCTGTGCAAAGCCCTGGCATCCCGGGACAGGAAGAAGGCAATTTAAGCCTGGAGACTTGTATTCGCCTGCAAATGTTTCAGCCGCAGTTTGCAATGGCGCTTAGAACTGACCCAGGACCCGAAGCCTCAGCTTCGGAAGCTGCTCAATTTTTTTGGGTCACCTCCAAACACGGGACACGAGTTTCTGAATCATCTTGTTATTTTATGATTATTTTCCCCCGCATTATCAGATGTCAGCAAGGCTTCAGGGGCATTTGTTTCTCAAATCAGAGATGTGGTTACAGGCCAAAATTTTGTGCCGCGTCTCCTGCTAAGGATGCCTCTATTTTGAAACGAAACTCTAGCGGGTTAGGTAGAAAAAGACAAATTGTCCCATTTAACCTCCTTTACACATATATTTTCCCCTTACAAACTTCTTTGGAAATGTGTTTATTCTGAAACGTTCCTTACAATTAGTCTCTGCTTCGAACGCAAACTCCGGATGCAGCGAAGTCACTTATCTGCGGAGACATCACCAACAACATAAAACAGCAGGGAAAGGAGCAAAAAGTCTCCCAGCTGCCGGGGTCAGCTTCCAGATTCTGGGAAGAAGGCGCTAAAGAACATATTCCCTTACCTGTCTCAGCTTTCCAGACCAACAGCTGGAGCCTGCCCCGATCCGTTGGCCTCGGAAAAGCAATTGCACCCCTTTTCGTATCTGGCCACAGCAAGGGCAAGGCGAACCTAAAAAATTCACCGGTTTGGGGGTTTGGTTTTAAAATAAATGGTAGGTTTGCTATAGAAGCCCTTTAAACTCTAAAAGGCTTTGATTATTATCTCTGAGCGGTGGGGCAGCAAGGGAGGTGCGGGAGCCCCGAGAATTACCGGCACCGCTCGGGGCTGGTCCAGGAACCTGCAAGGAGGGGGCACAGCTCACCTCCTTCACAGCAATGCAAACCAGATAGGAGGCATCTCGATTTACACCAGCTGCGACCTTGCTCGCCGTGCGCAGGGCGGTGAAGCGCTGGTCCTTTCTTGTATTACGATAATTAGTTTAGAAAGCCTGACTCACATAAAAGCTATCTATAAAGATTTACTCGCGGTTTTGTCGATTTGGAAATACGTTTCTCCTTTTTCCATCTACTCTAAACCTGCTGGTTTTAATCTCCAAAACAGTCACTGGAAAAAAAAAAAAAAAAAAAAAAAAAACGGGGGAGGAGAAACATTTCTATAAAGAGTTTAACCAAAGCACATTAAATATTTTCCCAACATCACCAAATAAACAACAATCCTCCAGCTCCCTATAAACTATTTAAAGCATGTCATATCATCTCTTCTGCTCTTGCCAATGAACTTTCCTTTTAATTTATAAGTATATTAGAGCAGGGGCCTGTCTTTTTGTGTATATTTGCAAAACGTTTGGCACCCTTTCAGTCAGTTGCAGTTCACAAACACTTAAAACTGCATTTAACTTCGTTATTATAGGTAGTTCGCCTTTTCCTTGCTTTTGTAGAGCTACTGCCTGTGAAAGTGCTTGTTGTAAATCGTCTGAGCAGTTGTTGAAGGGTTTCAGTACATGAAACCTCTTTGGACGGCAGGACTGACTGGGGCGGGGGGGGGGGGGGTTGGAAGGCAGAGGGTGGGGAAGAGAGAAGAAAAAGCACAGCGGAAATTTAAACTGAGATCTCAGACTGTACAAATCGGCCTGAAAGGAAATGGGGGAAATCTCCTTAGGATGAACATTTTTAGTTCACTAGAAAATAAACTTCTGCTCATAAATGATGAAAGTTATTATCATCAGAGGATGTGCTGTACCAAACAAACCTCCATTAGGCTGGGAAGGATAAAACAGGCTAGACAGCCTTTAAAAAAAAAAAACAGTCATCATGTCTTTGATTCCCAAGATATCAACCATGTCTGTTTCTGTAGTGCTGTCAAGTAAACCTGAGTTATGGATGCTCTAAAAAAGCCAACAAGGAGAAAATTCAGCAAGTGACAATTAAGAGCGTTATCTATAGATACTTTACCAAAATACACTTTCTTTTGAGACTCTCAAGTTCTTGCCCTGTACCATGGCATGACAATTTCTGACAATAAGAGCAAGCCCAGGGAATGTGGTAAATCTGTGGTCATCACACCACTCAATTGCATGACAGACTCCTTTTATTGAGGCTTTTTCTCTTTCTGCACTTCAGTGCCCATCATTTTCACAAGAGGCTTAAGGTCTGGAATGCAAGCTCCTAAAACTGCCAGTGTCAAGGTGGGCGCTGCACAGTGAACTCCACTGCTGAAACCATTTTCTAGCACATTTATGTATCACATCTAACCTGAACAAGCAGGCAGAGGGCAGTTGCTCAGTTTAATACAGTATTGGTGCATTGCTCTTTAACGTAGATGACCTGGGATGTTCTGTAACAAGCAAACATATCTGGGCTCAGAGGACTGGCTGGCTGGGCAGCTCATTGACAGCAGGAGGAAAGCAAGCCTACTGAGAGCGCTTCCTTCCTCCCTATGAGCAAAAGCAAGGCATCGATCAAAACCAACTGCCTGGTTGGAAAAAACACAGTTGGCAGTGCTCTTTGCCTTTTACCATCATGAAACAAACACAAACTGGTATTACCAAGTCCAGTCATAGGAAAATAGAGCACGGTGCTGCCAGGCTTTCCTCTGAGAGTCATTCTGTACTCGCTAGCTGCCTAATTAAGAAAACTATAGAAAAAGGCGACATGGACAAAAAGAAGGCACTGGTCTCATAAAGGTTTTGGATGTGGGCTCTCCCTAGCTGGCACACCATGGGAAGCCACATGAGAAACTGGGGGGTGAAGGTGCACTAAAGCTAAAGGCAGCTGCTGGTTCATGATCTCTTTTCTTTTGTTCTTTTTGTAACTTAATTTCCAGCACTGTGAGCAGTTAGACACCATGTACTCTGCTGGAATAAACTGCATTTATTCTTTTCCTCAGTCCTAGTCTCAAACATCTTCAGACTAGCACAGGTACCCTAGTCCTGGAGATTTGTCTATGGAGAGAGACAGGGAGTTCCCGAAGTGTCTATCTCCCAAAAGATGTTTTGAGGCTCTTGAAAAACTAAGATGCACAATTTCCATCAAGCTGTGGGAACTGCTCCTGAGGCTGGTCAAACTGGGTGTCATCCCAGCGGGCAGAAATCTCCTTTGTCCACTGCCTCTTCAGCAAGCAGAAAAAACATCCACATAGTGACTGAGGATACCTCTGTGTATGACAGCACCCTTTGACAGAAAATGCCCTTTGGATTCCCAAACTTCTCTGTAGTCATCAATGGCTGGGTCTGATTTAGCTGTTGTCTTTTGTACCTTGAGTAGAAGCAAGTCAGGGGAACAAAGCACCACTGAGAACCAGAGCTCTGCAGATCTCCAAAGACCACAATAGCCTCAGAAACACTTCCAGCAAACTAAGCCCAGCCCTGAGGAGCAGAGAAATGTGTAGAATTATCATTTCACATCATCATGTGAAAAGGAAAGAGAAGTGAATATGCCAATTTTGCAAGCCTGAGAATGAATGTGAACAAGTATCTGTCCCACCATCTGGGAGGAGATGATAGAGGTGAAGGAAGAGGGAATACAGGGGGGATGGTAAAAGTTCAGAGACCTATTTTTCTGGAGGGATGCTTCACATTCCAGCAAAAAAACTGAAGGAAGTGGACATGAGGAGTAGATCAGAGAGGGGAAATAGGAAGATGGATGAAGTGCTAGGCTGGAGGAGCAAACGAGTCAATTACAAAAAAAAGAGGAAGGGACTGTGTGCAGAAACCAACGAGGAGATGGAGCTCAGGGGACAAAGGAGCAGCCAAAATGCTCTCAAGGCAGAGATGTTGCTGGGGTGAGAGAGGAAAAAATGGAATTTCAGGTAATGATAAAATTGTAAACCTCTGTCCTCTCTATTTGATTATGGCACCTCTGTCACCAACTTTGTCAGGACAACTGAGCATGGACCTGCTATAGACAGGAGAAATCAACTATGTTAAAGCTGCAAGCCATTGGTTTTTGTAGAGAAATCAGAAGCAACACATGAAATTCAGCTAGAGAACAAGAGGAGGAAGTGCTGAGAACTGTGGGTCATGCCTGACAACCAGAGAGACAGACGAAGGAGAAACAAAGTGAAATGCCAGCAGTGTAGAAGCAGTGAATGCCCAAGAAGGAACCCAGGAGATGAGTAGGGCCAGAAATGAGCACCACTGGACATTGGTGAAAGGATGAAAGGCCAGCAGTGACATCACTGGGCTGTAATGGAGGGAAGGGGAGACAGGCTGAAGCTGGATAGACCTTAAACCGATACTCTGCTTCCATTGCCTCATGAAAGCTCTCAAATAAATCCAGAAAAACTTTCTGCATAAATTCCAAGAACAGCAGTTAAGTTCCTGAGCTCTTTAAGGTGGTGATGCAGACAAAGGTCTGCAAGCATCACTTGTAAGGTTGAAACCATGCAAACACACAGTCTGCCTGCAGCTTCACACAAATCTGACATAAACCCTACCCCTCCTACTGACAGTGAGCAAGCAAATAGCTCCTTTCCCTGTCTTGAGATCAATGGGGCAGAAGAAAAATGTTGCACGATGGCAGAGAGCACTGAGAGAAGCATTTCCACAGTTCTTACAGCAACACAGCTTCACCTCAGCACTGCTTCAGCGCTCGAATGCCTGCAGAAGTGATGGGGAAGGCACAAGGTCCATAGCCCAGGCACAGTAGTTTATTGCCCAGAAACAACTGCAGGGAAGGAGTGTATTTTCATAGGGCAGACATCTCCTTTGTCCTTTCTACCACTATCTGGGTGTTGCCTCATTTCTTCTACCTCCACAGTTTCTCTTCTGTTAGCCCTTTTTAGCAACATGGAGAAGCTATAAATAAAGCTATATAAGCAATGTAATAGGCATGCAATTGCATGTCTCTTTTCTTTGAAAAAATGATGCTTTATTTCCTGTACAATGGAAACTACAGTTTGATGTTACAGCTATTGGATTTTGACTGAATGCAGAAATTTGACTTAAACAACGACATTTCCTCCCGTATTTAGTATTACCATATGTCACTGATTATATATTTAAGTTGCAGAAATGAATTAAATTTCATGGCTTCCTCAAGTTAGATTCTCTTGGAGTGGACTGTCTTCTGTTATTAACCAAAATGCTTGGGAAACAGTTTAAATCAAACAGAGTTTTGGTATAATTTCAGGAGAAAATCGGTTATCGCAAACTGAGTGCTTAACATGTCATCATCCAGAAGGCTGCATAAACCTTTGCAAACGTGCAGCAACCCTGGCCAGCACAAAGAGGCTAGTTGAGCACCACAGAATCAGAGATGGAAAAAGATTAAAAAGACACAATGTGTTGTTTGGAGCTCATTTGCCTGGGGTCTTATTCCTTCTGCCTCAGAAGTTATCATGCATCCCACATCTCACTGCTTACTTCACTTACTTGGGGGAAGTATCCTCTCTCAGCTGGCTAAAGAGCATTAGTGGCAATCACATTGCACGTATGTTCTGGGAGAAGCCAGCCTTGTGCTTGCTTGATTTCTTCCTGTTTTCTGGGAAAATAAAAAAATAAATTAAAATCTACATTTTCTTTCCTCCTTCTGTTTCCCATCATGATTTGGACTGCTAACATTTCTATCCCCACTAGCAGTCCTGTGGTGGATCCTGGCCCTTTTCTATAGGACCAGCAGACAGCAGAACCCCTGGGCTCCCATCAACCACAAAGGAAGTGAGCTGCAACCTGCAGCCTCTGGGACTCTGACTTCAGGCCTTAGAGTCAAGGTGATGTGAAGGACTTCACAAAATTTCCTGTGTCCACACTTCCCTCCTCCTCTAGGTCCTGCCTGGACCCATACGGTCAGGGCTGGAGGAGGACAGCCATCACCAGAGATGTCACCACCAGCAGGGGTTGTGGATGTTGCAGGTTGTGACACAGAAGCTGCAGAGGGAGCTCAGTGGTGGCAAGTATGGTGTAAAGCAGAATCTGAGCAGTCCTGGTGAGTGGGAGGTGGGTTATTATTCCTAATTGAAGAACAATGTCATAAGGGGAGAACAGTGAAAAAAGACAGATGTTTCAGCATAAGAAGAAAACAAGGGCAGCTTGCTGAAGGACTCACCAGGCAGGATACAGCCAGTACGGGCCTCAGCAAGAGCCTTGCAAATTCACATCATACTTTGCCAAAGACTCAATCAATTGAGCATGTGCTAAAGCTTAGTTTGCTTTGTCTTATTTGGAGCTTTGGAAGATATTTCCTATCTTGACTCATTGAACACACTCCAGCCACACACCTGCAACTTCTGGAGTGCATCCTCTCAGCAAGAGGCTAGCTAGCACGTCGTCACTTATGCAGGGCAAATCCTACTGAAAGTGCATTGGACCACAACTTTTGCACCAGTTTACTTTTACATATAGCACATGTAAGCTAACATCTGGCAAGAACACAACTATGTCCTGATCAAGATGGAGCTCATCGCAACAGATGGTGTATAACACTGTAGGACCAGGGCAGCTCCATCCTAGACTAGGTGTTATTCTTCTGTGTTTTTATATCCTCTGGCCACACCTTTTTGAGAGCAGAGCTATTGTTACTCAGGTTTTTCACTCCCATCGAGATCATAAGCCACACTAAACCTACAGGTCACTGCCTAGCCCTAACATCCAGGTTATTTTGCTCCTGTTGAGGCATCTCAGTACATGAAGCAGGATTCTGGCATGACTGTTTCACCGTATGTCAATATAACAAGGTTAGTAACACTCTGAACCAGATAATGCCTCCAAGCACACAGTAGCTCTGCCAGCACACACACAAGCGCCACCAGTAGTTACCAATCTAACAAATAACATCTGGTGACCATTTAGGGGTAAAGGATAGAAAAGCCAGCAAAGAGCAGCCTCCAGTGCCACCTCGAATTTCATCCTAAAGGCAAAAGTGTTCAGAAGAGAAAATCCAGCATCGAAAGGAATATTGCTGCGACTCTTAGAAGATACAAGATGTGACCAACAGCCTCTGCAGCTTTAGAGAGTTATTGTCCGAGATTGTTTTGCCAGAGGTTTATTTTGCCAGTAGAAGTACGGACAGAGATTGCCACCTTGTGGTTCCTCCTACAGTGCCACGGTGTGGTTTTTGAATTGCACTAGCTTAGACCAGCGGTTCCCAAACCGCTCTCCGAGGGTTTCTGCTGACAAGGGTACTATGGACAGGAGTACTTTCCAAGTACTTACTTAACTAAAAAAGCAAGCCTGTAATTCACAGTCTCCAGTTCCTGTACTGAGAAACTTACCAACAGAAAATATTTCAGGAATCTAACCTGCAAGTTAATAAAGATGAGTAACGACCGGCAGGGGTAAACAGCTTCCAAATGCTGTGTGATTCACGAAAAACAGATTCTCTTTACAGTATTTTCAGCATCAAGAAATCTGTGGGAAATCCATTGCTGATGACAGCCTCCAGTTTCACAAATTTGGGATGGTCTCAAACAGTAGTTCCCACGGGGCCCTAATGAGGAAGCTGCAGCCATGTGCTTGTCCCCACCACCTGCAGAGAGGAAGGCAGGAGCAGATGGATCTTGTCCCTAGCCACTCCGGGTACCACTTAAGGCAATTTGTGAGATGTAATATTGGGCAGTATAAGTTGGGGTAAGGTCTACAAAAGGAGGTTGTCAGCTGGCTCCTCCGTACGTTACACCCTGGTAGAGAAGCAGGCAGAGTTTCCCCACTGGAGCTTAGGGGTAGTTCAGAAGGGAAAGATCAGGAAGAGCGTGTGAGGCAGCACACAGCTCCTGTGAAACGCCAGGGAATTAATCGAATTTTGAAGAAAGTAACCTGCCTATCCTAAAGCTGCAAGGAGCACAGATCTCCCTGGCAGCAATTCGTGCCTATCTGCCTGCTGACATACTGACACAGAAAGTGGCCCATTTTCATGGGTGCACTAATGAGTGAATCATGAGAATTTTCGGAGCACTTCCGTTTCCTCCATGGCGTTTTCTGACTGGCTTCCTGCTTTGCCACCAGTGAGCCTGTAAGCAGCCAACTCTTTTCCAGTTCTCCAGCCTCGTTTCGAGATTCTTGCGGATGTTGGTCCAGGGAAGACTCGAAAAAGTTTCAGAGCCTCTGAAGCGCCTTCTTCAGCACATACTCCTGAAGCCGTTTGTGTATCACATTCGTCATGAGGTGCAGACTGGAGAATAGCTGTTAGACACCGCGTGCTGCATTTGTTTCCTAGCAAGACTGCAAAGCTAACGACTACCCGCCCTCCCATAAAAATAAATAATTAAAATCGCTCCCGCGGGAAGAAGAGAGATGAATTTGAAGGGAAGAGCCGGGCCTCAGCAGATAACAGAGGGAGGCTGACTGCAAATCCCTGCTCCACAGAGAGGGTGGGAGCGGCGCCCAGGCAGCCCCGGCAGCCCTGCACCAGATGTGGGGTGCGCGCTGGATGCCGCCCGCCGCCGGGATGCTCCCCGGACCCACCCCCCCCCCCCCCCCCCCAGCAGCTCCGCTCCGCCGGCTCCTCCCGCCGCGGGCCGGCTCCCGGTTGCACGTGGCGCGGCGGCTGCCCGCCCCCCCGGCCCACGTGTGCCGCCGCGCCGTGCCGTGCGGTGCCGGCTCCCCGCTGCAGTCCCGGGGCGGCGAGCGGGCGCTGCGGTGTCGGTGCAGCGGCATGGCGGCGGGCCCGGGGCGCAGCGGCGGCGGCTGGGGCCGGAGCCGGGGTGCCGTGCTGCTGCTCTTTTTCTCGCTGTCTCCGCGGCCGCCGGCCGGAGCCGCCTGGCTGCTGGGGCTGCGGCCCGAGGACACCGCTCCGGGCCGGGTGTCCCTAGAAGGCGGCGCGGTGCAGGCGGCGGAGGGGAGCCGCTTCCTCCTGCGCCTCTACTTCCAGCCGCCGCCCGAGGGCAACGGCAGCCGCGGGCCGGCGGAGGAGCGGGAGCCGCGGCTAGTCTTCATCGAGGAGGCGGCTCCGGCGGCGGCGGGGGGCAAGACGGCGCGGGGCCCGGCGGAGCGGTGCCGGGAGCGCAGCGCCTGGGCCTCGGACGTGGAGGTGGTGGGGCCGCTGCGCTCGGGCGGGGCGGCGGGCTCGGCGCTGGCCGAGGTGCGAGTGCGGGAGCCGCGCAAGGGCGAGGCGGCGGCGGCGCCGGGCGGGCGGCTCTTCTCGCTGTGCGCCTGGGACGGGCGGGCCTGGGCGCACCACGGCGCGGCGGGCGGCTTCCTGCTGCGGGTCCGGCCCGCCTCCCCGGCGCTAGGAGCCTGGCTGCTGCCGCTGCCTGAGGCGGGCTGGCTGCGGGCGCTGGGCGCCCTGCTGCTGCTGGGGCTGTCGGCGCTGTTCAGCGGGCTGCGCCTCTCGCTGCTTTCGCTGGACCCGCTGGAGCTCCGCGTCCTGCGCAATAGCGGCTCTGCCGCCGAGCGGGAGCAGGCGCGGCGGGTGCAGGCTGTGCGCGGCGGCGGCGGCACTTACCTGCTGTGCACGCTGCTGCTGGGGCAGGCCGGGGCCAACGCGGCCCTGGCCGGCTGGCTCTGCGCATCGCTGCCAGGCGGCGGAGCGGCAGCGGCGGCCGCGGGGCAGCGCGGAGCTCCCTGGCTGCCGGTGCTGCTGTGCACCGCCGCCGTCTTCCTAGGCGGCGAGGTGCTGCCCTACTCCGTCTGCTCGCGACACGGGCTGGCCATCGCCTCCCGCACCTTGTGCCTCACCCGGCTGCTGATGCTGGCCGCCTTCCCCCTCTGCTACCCGCTCAGCCGGCTGCTGGACTGGGCTCTGCGGCAGGAGCTCAGCGTCTTCTCCACGAGGGAGCGTCTGCTGGAGACGCTGCGCGCCGCTGGCCCCCACGGAGACCTCGTGCGGGAGGAGTTGGCCATGGTGCAGGGAGCGCTGGAGCTGCGCACCAAGGTGGTGGAGGATGTGCTGACGCCGCTGGCCGACTGCTTCATGCTGCGTGCCGACGCCGTGCTGGACTTCGCCACTGTCTCTGAGATCCTCCGCTCCGGCTACACCCGCATCCCCGTCTATGAAGGCGACCGGCGTGATAACATTGTCGATCTGCTCTTCGTCAAGGACCTGGCCTTCGTCGACCCCGATGACTGCACCCCTCTGCAGACTGTCACCCGCTTCTACCGCCGCCCGCTCCACTGTGTCTTCAACGACACGCGCCTCGACACGCTGCTTGAGGAGTTCAAGAAGGGTGAGGCCACCGGGCCACCACCTCCTGGGCTCCCCCTGCACCCCTCTGCACCCCCAATGATTCCCAGGTCAGCAGCCCCACGGCCCCCCTGCGTGGCCTCCTGGCTGAACCCGGCAGGTACCAGGGATGCTGGGGGGAGTTGTGCCCTGCATGCGCTGGTGTGGTGGTGACTCTGGTGTCACCTGGTGGAGCAGCCTCGGGGTGGATCGCGGGCCAGAAATCCTGGTCGTGCCTGTGATGTTATGGAGACTGTAAGAGCCTTCGGCCTCAGAGGTTGCTGGCTCAGAAGGTGAGCCTGTCCCACAGGGCTGATGTCTCTGCGGGGTCGTGGCTGCATGGGCACAGTGCCTACCTTGCACTTCTGCCCAGGCAAGACAGCATTCACCACTCTGTTCTGCACATAGGAGTTTATGGCAGGAGATAAGATCTTGTGACTTAACTCTCACATTTTCAGCCTAGCAGTTCGAAGCAGGTCTAGGGAGTGTTTCTGTGCAAGTGGTTTAAAGAAAGAAGAAAAGCCTAAGCCCATAGAAAGAGCTGTACTTTTTCTGCAGCTGTGACCATATTCATAATTCAGCAGCTGCCAGCAGCCCCAGAGATGCTGAGAGCTGTATTTCATTAACCATATCTTGAGAATACACACAGCATGTGGTTTCCCCCCCGCTGGGAATGATGTTTTGCTGCGTGTTACTCAGTACGTCATACCGTGGTGAGTGAGTCTTTAAGAAATGGCTGCAGCGGTGACATCCTGCATTATGTAATGTGGGAAGACAGCATTCGGCTCCCGGGCTGCCTGGGGCTGCTCTGCCGCAGGCAGAGATGATCATGTGAGGAAGGCTAACTCGGTCCCTTCCAGATACAGAGAATGCCTCTCTGAGTTATCTCCCTGCTTGTTTGTAGAGGCAGGAAAAGGGGAGGATAGGATGTGTGAGAAGTGATCATCAGATGCATGCAGGTCAGCATCTTCTCTGGAGATGCACGACTGTCCCCACCACCTTGCAGGATCGCAGGGAGCAGAGTTGTGTGTGGCACACAATACTGCCCTCTCAGCAGGACTGGAGACTCCCAGTGGTGCAAATCAGCAAATCCCTGATTGTTCTCAGAGTTCAACCTTGATGAGCTACAGTAGTCCCTCATTTTCCCCCTCTTCCCCCCTCCCCCCCCCCCCCCGCTTCTTGTAATGTAACCAGTTGTCTCTCATCTTCCTGTGCTTCGCAGTTCTTTCTTAACTGTGGCTTTCCGCATGATACTACACCACTACTGGAGTTCACCTGAGGTCTCTGCTACCTCTCCCTGATCTAGAGAGTTCGGTGCTACCAAAGATGTCAGATGACTTTGGCACAGTCCCCCTTGATCAGTCTCCCCTGCACTTTATCTGATCTACTTTGGTGTATTCAACTGCTTCCCCCTCCAGAGCTATTCTAAAGCCTGCTATCCTGTGGATCAACCAACCTCTAGAAATGGATTTGTGGTTGCTTAGCTCACTGCCCTTTGCTTGCTGCCCCTCTGCTCTGCTTGAAAATAAATGTTTTATGTGTGTTGCTCCCTGAGCTGACAGGTATGCTAACAGGTCTTGCTTCCTGCCCTACACTTTCAAGTCCTTATCTCAAATGAAGATTGTCCATCCTTCTTCAGCTTTGCTCAATTAAACTCTTGGCATTTTGCTTCAGGCTCTTTGTCCCTTACATCTCTTTGCCATAATGGCCTCCTGGGGCATTTTGCCCCTATGTAGAGCTCTGCCTAAAACTGACTTCTGTTCCCACCTCATTTCCTCTTGTATTTTCTAAATCACGTGGCTGAAAAGCCTTGCTCTTGGTCTTGGTGTCTAACTCAGCATCGCGATTAGCAGTTCCAGCTCTTTCCTGAAATGTTCTTCTCCCCAGGGGTTACTGTTCTCTTCCAGTTCATCTTTCCCCTTTTTGTAGGCATTTAGTCACTCCCAGCACCCTGTGTTTGTCGATGGCCACCCCCAGCCCAGCCCTGAACCCCTCCTAAAATCTGTTTTCCCAGTTCCAAATACAGGTTCCCATGCCGGCTCCTGCACTGCGACAGATGTTTGCTCCTGGCTGCCTTCAGTCCCATCCGCTGCTGTTTCAGCCCTGCTCACTTGACTATTTAATGTCTAAAATAAAGATTTCCCATTTGTAATTAAGAATCTTCATCACCGTCTCCTTTTCTGTGTCCGTTTGAATTATGGTGAAGTTATCTTTTTTGATCCAATCAAGATTGCTTTCCATGGCCAGGTGTTCTGTGACACCTCCACTAATTAGAGAGTAGGCTGACTGCTTGTTGGTTCAGTGAGTGGTTAATGAAGGCATTCATCACTTCGCACATGCAGGGTGCCTGCAGGACAGCAAATGCTCCCTGGAGGCGATCTCCAGTCTGTTTCTAGGAAATTAAAGTCTCTGGTAAGGATGGGCATTGAGAATCATTTCCAGGTCCTTAGATCCCAGACAAACCTCTAGAGAAACCTTGCCAGCTTGCTTTTCCTTCTCCCATGGTTAACGCAAACAGGTTTTGTAACCTACCTTTCTTTTTGTTATTACAGTGTTTATACAAAATACCCATCACATTTTAAATCTTTCTTTCCTGAATAGCGATGTATACTTCTGATCTGTTTCACTAATGATTAATGTTCTGCCACATCCAATATGCCCAAAATGTCTTTTTGGTTTTTTTTTTGCATAATGAACAAGTAACACAGTTTCACTGCCAGAGCTCCTTGCCACAGTACGCAAACATTTGTTCTTTCTTACTGAAAATGTCAAGTGATGATTAAATACAGCACTTTGAGACTTGCTCACACCTCCAGCAGCACATCCTGTTTTTGTCTCTCCTCTTACTTGCCAGTATCACATTATTATCCTTGTTTACACCATGCATTTCTTTTCTCTCATTGTGCTATTCTAGCTATGAAGGTAATCAGCTTTTTTTCCTCTCTAGTCTTTTATAGCAGGGTTTGAAGGGAGGTTTTCCTTCATTGGTTTCTAGGTATGCTCACGCCTAATCTCGTTTGGGCAAAGTTCCATCAAGATGCATGATGTTTTCCTTGAGTTTAATCCATAGGAGGGTTGCAGATCCCCTCTCCCCCAGCACAACCCTGTGTAGATGGGATTACACTCCATGGACCTGGGGAAGGACACTTGTGCAGCATTAGCTTGCCAAAACATTTAAATTGTGTGGCAGTAGTAGCATACACTTCAGTATCACCTATGGAGCTGATGGCACAATGTGGTTACAGTGCCCCAGAGCAGCTCTGAGTTCCTGGTTGACAAAACCTGGCCCCTGCCCCGTCACAGCAGAACTGGTCGAAGCCTTCACATTTGCTCCTTCACAAGCCTGCTGCTGCTTGGCATTGTTCGATGTTTCTTTTAGCACTAATTCCTGGGGAAAGATGGTTAAACTGGGGGCACTAATGGGAACTGGGAAAAATCGAGCAGAGAAGGCTGCAAACAGCAGCAGTGTATGGGGTTGGTAGCTGTGACTCCAACCCACAGCCCCAAAGAGGAGGGCAGCTGCAAAAACTGTATTGAAAAACAACATTACAGCAGAGCGAGACAGGTCCAGCAGAAGGAAGGAAATACTTGTGCTAGAAAATGGTTTTACATTTACATTCTCATCAAAACTCAGTGGAATGAGCTCAGAAATAATGAAGCCTGAACACCCAGTTTGCCATCTTTTCAGGCAAGCCAGACAGGGTCATTACAGAAGGCATGCATAGTTGTGCAGCATTTACATTGAGGTGCTAAGTGGAGGACACCACACAGAATGTATCTCCAGTTCTCCAGAAATAAGATGCATACCAGTACAGTTAACTTTGCTACCTGCAGCCTGAAATACACTGAAACTACTGAAGGAGTGAAAAAATTAGGAGACAATTTCTTGGCAGTTTGTATTGGTACATCTCAGAGTACCTGGCTTTATTCTAGGCTGCCAGGAGGAAGTGCCTAATGCAGCAGAGAAATAACTGCACCATATTTAGCAAGCTAATCAATGCAGAGGAGCAGATGAGGTCCCAGTAGGACAAACGTCACTTTGGGAATGTGGAGCTAGGAGGAAAGATCTATGCATTCATTCAGTGTGAAATACTGTGGGTGATGCAGTCTGTTCCTCCTCCAACCCTAGAAGATAACCAAAGCGATGTGTGTTGCAGCTCCGGTCTTATAAGAGTTTTCTGATGGGGAGCTCATCCATGAGGTCCACCTCCTTGTTCTGTAGCGCCTTTGGGAAGTCATAATCTTTTCCCATTCTTCAAGTAATAATGGGTTTTGTTGACTAATTTCCTGTTGGAGTATATATACAGCAGTGGCAATGTTCAGCAAGTAATTGTCCTGTTGGAGAGACAGTAGAAGTTTGCTCTTATGTTCATTTTCCTACAGCAGGGCAGACGCTGAGGTTCAACCCAAATTAGCCTTCTGTGGTTTGGCATCTTCTAGGACTTACTAAAAGTAAATTCTCCAAAACCAAACTTCCTGGCTTAGCAGGAAAACAGCCTGTCCTGGGGAGGGCAACCCTGCCCTAGGAGCTGTCTTTGCTTTTCAGAATACTCCACAGCCTCTGTCAGACTTCTACAAATTGAGTGTAGCTGGAGAAGGTGCTTACGCTTGCCAGAAACAGGGGTCAGTACCATTTCAGCTCCTTTTCATACTGTCCTTCTTCTGAGCCTGCAGTCATTGCAAGCACAAAGCATGGCTTGAAATGTGGATCAGCCTTCAGGAGATTTCTGCAGTTACGATGGCATTGTCTATCCCATGTAGTATACAAGTCCCCTGAAAAGCAATTGCCAGGCTGAGTGGGTGAGGTGCCCATGCACAAAATATGGTTTCAGTAACTCTGCCTGAAACATTACTTTGTTTTTTGCCCCCAGACTGTGCTAAATCTTCCTGAGTGAACCCTGCTTTACCCGACCCCAGCAAGCCCAGGAGCAGGCCTGCTCTGGGAAGGCATTCAGCAAAGCAAGAGGGGAGCTGTGTCACTGGGGAGAGGTCACCCAGCCACCC